TGGGAGGTGCGGAGAAGAGAAAAAAAGTGCGATGAGGAAAAATACTTGCTGTGTCATGTGATCATTTGGTTGCAAATGTTTTCTTTTTTCCAGCCTTATCGAGGTATAGTTAACACATAAAATTGTAAGATATTTAAAGAGTACAACGTGATGATTTGATAAACATATACATTGTGAAAGGAATTTCCACATTGTGTTAATGCATCTAATACCTCACATATTTACCTTTTTATTTTTAACTAGAGGCCCAGTGCATGAAATTCATGCACAGGTAGGGTCCCTAGGCCTGGCTGGCAATCAGGGCTGATCTGTGGGGCAACCAGTGGGGCAATCGGGGGAGGGGGGCCCTGCTAGCACCCACCTTGGCTGGCCTAGGGCCTGCGGGCTGGGGGCAGCTCCTGCATTGAGCGTCTGCCCCCTGATGGTCAGTGCTCGTCATAGCAACCAGTCCACCACTCATTCCACTGTTTGATTGATTTGCATATTAGGCTTTTATTATATAGGATATTTTGGTGAGAACATTTAAGTTTTACTCTCGTGGCAAATTTCAATTATACAATACAGTGTTATCACTATAGCCACCATGCTAGACATTAGATCTTACACCTTATTAATCTTACAGCTGGTAATTTGTACCCTTTTACCAACCTGTCCCTGTTCCCTCCTCCTAGCCCCAGACAACCACTTTTCACTTTTCCACTCTGTTTTTCTGAGTTTGACTTTTTTTGCAGGGGTGGGGGGGATTTCACATATTCCTGGTATTTGTCTTTCTCCGCCTAGCTTATTTCACTTAGCACAGTGCCCTCCAAGGTCATTTATGTTGTCACAAACGACAAGATTTCTTTAGGTAGAATTTAAGGCAATCATGCTATCAGTATTTCTCAGCTGTGAGTAATGTACAGAACACTCTCAACAACTGAATCAGGTCTCAACTATATGTGATTATATTTCTAGATAACCACAAAGCAACAAATTTACAACTAAGTCCTTAAAAATCTCCATATAAAAGAATTTCAATTAATGATATTAATTAATGGAATGGAAGACTTTGTTTTGCTTGAGTTAAAATCATGGCACAGGGTGAAAATACAGTGTCGTTGGGACCACACACAGATGTTTGGGTTCAGCAAGCCTCCCCTGCACGTGCTCGGGGTGACTCCCATCTGCCCCCACTCTTAGCCATCTAACTGCTGAAAGCAGTATCGTCCTATAGTCAGCCCGTCCTTAACTGGTTTACACCCAGGAGACACCTTTCATTGGCACCTGCCGGGGAGAAGCTGCAGCCCCGGGTCCACCTGCCTGCCCTTCAGGCCCCTGAAAGTTACTCAGGAGATAGACGGCACGGAGAGGCACTTACCCACGAAAGCCTGGCTCCTGCAAACGAATGGTGGGTTAGTGTTTCCCAGTGAACTCGTCTGGCGTTCTAAAGTCACATCACAGCGTGAAACCCTTTGAGGCTCAAGGAAAAGCATCTGCTTGTAAAATCTTTCCACTTTGCCTTGCGCATGGGGCTTGGGAAGAGGGGAAGAGCTCCTGCAAAATTCAGCTCTGAGACTCTGATTCAGGAGAGTGTGCCGTAAACTCCTCGCCTGCGGCGTGCCTTGTGCAGGGTTTGCCAGGAATTTCCCCACCTGATCTCTCTCTGATCTGAAGGTACTCAGAGCAGAACAGGCCATTCTCATCCCAGCCCTCCCCTTTTAAGATGATGCACAGTCCAGTTTCAGGGGCAGGGCGACTCCTTTTGCTCCTGCTCTCCGTCTCTTCCGAGAGAAAGATCAGAGCCGGTGTCTGGCTGGTTCCTAGTGCCTGGCTCTGAGCCGTGTGCCCGGAGCAGGCTGCCTGACTCATGTTCTGGCTTCACCTTTGGCTGTGGTGGTGCCCTGAGCCTCCAGAGACCTCGGGCTGCAGGGGCCCAGCTGTGTGCCTCCCGGCCATCCTTGTTTGCCCTCGTTCTCTCTTTCTTCAAGTCTCCACCGAGTGCGGCTCTGTGAGAGTCATGTCATCTCCAATCACGGCCGCCACCGCTGCTCACTCCTCCCAGGTTCTCTGCTGGGCATTTCCCTCCGCTCTTTGCTTTTCTCTTCCTCACGCCTCTTCAGTGTTTCTCTTCTTTGGGCCAATGAGTTCCCTGTGTCACCAGCACCGGTGGGTCAGAACGGTCTTTCCGCTTTCCCCCCCAACGGCTGACTGACGAGTCCTGACACATCAGGGATGATTTGGGGTGTTCACCTCTTAGAACAGCACCAGAACTGGGCAGTGGTGGAAGTGACTGATTGAGCCCCAGGAGGCTCTGTAGCACCGGCCCTGGTAGGCACTGGCATCCCCTTTTCTTCCATGGGCGACTGTCCCGCTCTCTCTCCTCAAATTCAGACACGAAGTCACGGCACCTGCCCTGGAGCTGGGGGCCGACCCCCCACAGCCCGTGTCATCCCTGAGACCCCTCATGGTTCTGTTCCTTTACACGCAGGGCTCTTCTCCAGCAGCTGCAGAAGCTGCAGACTCTGGTGATGGGCAAGGTTTCTCGCACCTGCAAGTTGGCGGGCACGCAGACTGGCACCTGCCTCATGGTGAGTTTCCCGAAGGGACGCGCCCTAACCGCCCGCCCTCTCCCCAGTCTCCATCTCTGCCCAGCCTGCCACGTCCAGGGGCCGTGGGGTCGGAAGAACCGCGCAGCTCGCTCCTGGTCCGTCTGTTGGCCGGTGGGGGAGCCTCCCGGGGCTGCGGGTGGACAGGTGTGCTCGGTGGACCTTGGAGTTGACCGCTCCGTGTTGTCCCTCGCCTGCAGGTGGTTGTGCTGTGCTTTGCCGTGGCGTTCGGCAGCTTCTTCCAGGGCTATGGGCCCTATCCTTCCGCCACCAAGATGGCCCTGCCCAGCCAGCATTCCCTGCCGGAGCCGTACACAGCCTCTGTGGGTAAGGCCGCACTCAGCACGCCGGGAGGGTCTCCGTTTCATTCCTCTGGAGCTTTCTGGAAACTCACCTTTCTGAAGGGAGTCTTATGTGAACGTCTGATTTTAAAAACGTGATGAAAGTGTAGCTTCTCCATTGAAGGGAGGGAAGGGGCAGGGGAGGGGGTCAGCCCACTTGCTGGGTTCCCCCTTGTGCCCCTCCCGCCGGGGCTAAGGCACTGGTGGGGATTCTGTAGAACTCAGCGGAGCGCACTTTACAAACTACCGCTCACGACTATGTTCCCTGGCAAATTGTCAGCTGCCCCCGCCCGGGGGGATGTGCTGTGCCCTCGTGGTGTCTCCCTAACACCCGGTACTTTGCTTTGTCCTCAGTGAGATCCAGGAACCTGCTCATCTACGAGGAGCATTCTCCCCTGGAGGAGCCGTCCAGCCCCGCCTCGGCCGGGGAGCTTGGCCGCTGGGACCGAGGCTCCTCCCTGCTCAGGGCGTCGGGGCTGGAGTCTAGGCCGGATGTGGATCTTCCCCATTTCATTATCTCGAATGAGAGCAGCCTGGAGAAGTCAGTGCTGTGGGAGCTCCAGCAGCACCTGTGAGTCCGCGGACACAGACCCCTCTCCTCCGCTGCACCAGTCAGGGTCAGGGGTCAGCAGCCTGTATGGTGGGCAGGGACTCTCACAGGCCTAGTCAGTCCTTCTGCTCCTTCAGGACCGATTTCCAGGCCCGGGGACTCTGGAGGATGTACTGTTTGCCAGTAGCTGCCCCTAGTAGAGATGAGAAAGGACCCCCCTATCTGCTATGTCATTGGGGAGCTGGCAGCAGTGGCTTTAGGACGTAGGGAAA